GAAACACTGACATCAAGAATCTTACAGGACCCAAAAGTGCCCAGCACCTTGAGGCCGAGTTCACCCCAACCTGTGTCATGCAAAGCCAGGAGGCACGTAGAGAGGTGGGAAGAGCCTCTAGTCAGAGTCACCCACTGACTGATGGGAAGGACTGGGGGCTGCAGGGATGGCAGAAGTGCCCGGCAGAGGCGGGAAGGTGGCTACACCTGTGCCACCTGTGAAGCAGCTGCCAGGTAGCCATGAGAGACCTGGAAGAAGCGCATGGAGAACTTGAGCGAGTGAACCTCACGGGCACAGGTGAGGAGTGCGTGGCTGGGAGTGAGTGGCGGAGCTGACAGGAAGCGGAGCAGATGGTGAGCCTGAAGACACAGCCTAGCAGCTGTCCCGCCGCAGCACATCCGCAGAGTGGAGCGTGCTGCCTGGTGGGGCCCCAGGTTAGGCACTGGGAGGCAACTCCAAGTCCGATGGTTCGCATCCACTAGGTGCTTGGTGGAATCAAGATGCGGCGTTCTGCTCCTGTGAAGATTTGCAGCTCTGTAACCTCACAGGGCCGTCCTGGTTTTGCCTGGGGCTTTAAGTGCAGTCTGCGTTAAAACTCGCCAGCTGCTCCCGGGAAGAAAGACGGGCTTTCTACTTCTGTGAAGAGCCACAGCCTCGGAAACCCACAGGGCAGTGCTGCCATCCTGTAGGGTCGCTGTGAGTCAGGATTGGGGTTGGGTTTTGGGGGGGACTTTTTAATACACAAGCAATTAGATAGAGCATCGTCTGGGCCATAAAACGAGCCTCAATTCACTCAACAGGTTTCAGCTAATAGAAGACAGGGTCTCAGAAGACACCTCTGCTGCCAGGTTTACAACCCACAGTGACCCCAGAGCACTGGGCTTTCAAGGCTAAACACTGTCCATCTTTCCTCCAGAGTGGCCGATGGGTTCAAAGGGCCAACCTCTCCATTACTAGCCAATGCTTACCCGAGGTGTGGCCAGGGTGCCTTGATGCGTGGGTAAGGGCCATACGTTACAAATCAGTGCCAGAAACCTCCATGGAGATGCCTCAGTGTCTGCACACCGAGTAACACGCGGCAGCGGCGAGTCGCAGGAAACCCTAGCACACGCGTTAGAGAGCACTGCAGGAGGATCAGGGGAGCCCGAGCCGCCTTAGAATGTGCAACGTGCTGCTGAACGGGGACTCGGAGCGACAGCTGCCAGCAGCTCAGCGCCCACCCTGAGAAACCGGATAAAGAGGGCAAATGGAAGTCAAAGCGAACCCCCAAAAAGCAGGAGAGAGACAGACAGACAGAAGGCAACAGAAGAGGAAGCAGGCAACGGAGATCAAAGAACTGACGCAGGTTCTTTGAGAAGATCGGTACAATGGATAAGCCTGTGGCCTGACTGGCCGGGCACAGATGTGAGAAGGCGTGCACCAGTGTCGGGTGACCGCAGGGGCATGCGTTATTGAGTGTGGCTCTTCCAGGAAAAGTCTCCAACTCCCAGCAAACGGCCTTTCCCTGCGCGGGTCTGGTCCGAAGGTGGGGGAGAGACTGAGAGGTCTCAGCCGTGAATCAATGTAAGCAGGTTCCCCAGAGTGTCAAGCTGCTGCGTGTAAAACGAGCCCACAGAGAACTAGGAGGGAGGGGATCTCACTACCAGCAAGAGCCAGGAGTGAAGCACATCCTCTGGACCCGAGGTCCCGGCACAGAGAAGCTCCTGGATCCAGGGGCAGCTGTGACATCAGAGCAGCAGCAGCAGCAGCAGCAGCAGCGGGACCCAGAGCGTGAACCCTGCGGTGGACTTCCCAGCCCATAGGGCCAGTCAAGTGGAGTGCCTTTGGGCAGGACGGAGACTGGTTTGTGGAGGGGGTTCCTCTGGGCACTGAACTGCAGGGGGCTGGGCTTGCTGAACCACGGAAGTGGAGCGGCGTGTCTTTGGGCTGGGCCTACAGCCGAGTGGTGAGCCTTTGGGGGTGCCTATCAGTGGCCCTGACGGGCCTGTGAGACCAGCCCCGATGCACAGCTCCATCCTGGCCGTCTCCACTGGCACTGCAGCCTGCCCGCCTCCTTCATTGGCCCTTCGATGATGTGCTTTGTCTGTGGGCTCGGTGTAGCCATGGCAATGGACTTAGCACCCGGAGGTAGAGCAGATAGCAACAGCCAAGCCACGGC